ATGTGGGACAACGTTTTCAAGAAAAGATAAACTTTTTGGACACATTGCTCTTTTTCAAGGCCACACTCCTGCAATTCCAGTGGATGATCCGAAAGGAGGAGCAGTTGGTGGACATGATCATGGGGATAATTATAATAATAACATTGAAGGGTCTAAAGAAGTTGGATTCTTTGATTTTAATTTCAATTCAAATGGATCTGTGGGTGACCCGAGTACTTGTTTTTCGCCTTTGAACATAGAATCAAATATGAACAGGTTTCAGGAGTTTCCTCGAAGTTTATTTGAAGATTCAGACAATTTCTCTTTCCTTTTATCGGGGTCATCCAATTACTTGTGGAAAAATGGCGGGGAGACAAGTTCCAAGGATCTTCAATAAAATGACAAAATTGCCCCTTGGGCATAGCAAAGTTCTGTACTTGCGGGAAAAGGTCAAGGGTTCGAGTCTCAACAGCCAGACAGACATTTAGTTCTCTGCTGTGTATAGATTTATATCTGACATAATAACCCTTTTGCAGAAAATGATGACGAAAATTTCTTAGCCCATTTGTAGTATGATTAGTTGTTTTTATGTTTCAACATTGTATTTTATTGCCTAGTCTGTTATGACTTTGAATTTTGTATTTTCATAAATGGCAAGGTAAGCCATGTTTCTAGTATATTTGTATTATGGTTTTTTCCTTTAATGCATAAACATGTCATCGATTTGATGATTTAGCCACTTTTAGTGAAGACCGAATACCTGGGTCATATTTGAAGAGAAACTGGTTGGACAAGTTCGATAAGACTATTTTTAATGATGGGATGAGGGTATTTATGTCCTTTGAACATACTCAATCAGGAGCATGAGCGGGACTCTGTCCAATCTTGTTCTATTTTTTTGGGTTGAACAAAAAAAAAAAAAACAGTTTTTTGAGTATGCTAAAATATGGGTAAATAGGATGTGGTTATTATGTAATAATGAGTTGAGTATTCAACTTAACTAAAAAAATTTAGAAATTGAAGAGTGACTTTAACTTCACAAAATAAGGTGGCATGACTTTAAATTTTCCTAAACAAAACCTGAACCGAATACAGACAAACCAATTACCCGATTTTTAGACACTGATTACCCGGTTTTTCATGGCTGAAACCCAATCTTCTGAATCTTTAACAGGTTGATTGGTTTATTCTCGTATCAGTTTTTTAGTTGAGATCTTAAGATCCAGGTGTAAATCCTGTTTCAAATCAATCATGATTGAGATTATTATTATTATTATTATTATTATTATTATTATTGTTGTTGTTGTTGTTGTTGTTGTTGTTGTTGTTTTAAACTTGTAAGATGATAAGATCACAATTGAGATCTTTACCATCATAAGTTAAACCATAGAATTTCACTTTATTCCAATAACCTTTGATGAACACACCCACGATATAATAAATTACTAATATTAGAAGATATGACTCCTAAATTAGGGAAAATGACTATTGATGGTAACTAACTGTTGCGTTTGTTTTTATTTGGTCTATTTCCTTTTTTTGTACTCAATATACCATTGAACTTGTTGTTTGTGTTCACCATAACCCTTTTGACCGGCTTTTGACATGTAATAGCCAGTCAAATGGTTATGGTGAACACAAACAACAAGTTCGATGATAGTGACTATAAAAAAAGAAAAATGACCAAATGAGAATAAACTCAACAATTGGTTACCCTCCTAAGTCATTTTCCTCGAAAAACTAAATGAAATTAAAGTGACTGCAACCTTTTTTGGCCATAACGTATATGAAGAGCATTTCGGAGGGGTAACTTCGTTAAAACATGGTTTATTCTATGCTTACTGTGGTTAGCTACACCTCTATGCAAAAGGATATTATTGTGTATGAGAGGTATATTTATCAGTATAAACATTTACCTCAATGTATATTATGGTGATGTGTCTGCAAAAACTGCATGATATTGTACATATAAATGTTGTATTTTATCTGGTTATCCCATGAATTCAATCTTAAAGCTAAGTAAACTAAAAAATCACAACACTTGTGATTTCACTCCTTTGTAGACTTATCTAGAATCCATAATACGCTAAATCATTAGATTGGAAATGTAAATGTAGTCATGAAATGCATTTGCTTAGTCAAGATTTCCCTAATAAATATTTAAGTGCATTACAAAATTGTACATCTAGGAATAATATTCTTTCATGGGTTATGTTTTGAAGATAAACAATAATGAATCTCATAAAGTCATTAATATCAGCAGGAGATGACGTGAGATTTGCTGTAAATGGTTAAAGGAAAATGAATCAGAAGGGTAATCAACTGTTGCATTTGTTCTCATTTGGTTCATTTTCTTTTTTTGTACTCAATATATCATCGAACATGTTGTTTGTGTTCACCATAACCCTTTAACCGGCTATCACAGGTCAAAAGTCGGTCAAAAGGGTTATGTGAACACAAACAACAAGTTTGATAGTATATTGAGTACATATTTTTTTTTTACCAAATAAAAACAAACGTAACAGTTAGTTACCATCAAGAATTATTTTCTTCCTAAATTAACAACGTAACTAAATTTTCCCATACAAAAACTATCCAACTTAGCTGATTTGGTGTTAACTGCTAAAAGTTAAAGTATTAAAATACAACATATAATTTACCAATGAATACAACATACACTTTATTTCAACCATTTAATTCAACGAGCGCACAAACTATCATTTGTATCATTTAATGTAAAATTAAATACTCACAAATAAGATCCTACAATATTTTTTTATTAATTTTTATTTGATGCTTTTTATCATTTCATGCAACATTTTAAAAATTGGTCACATCATGTCTTTCATTTAATTAAATATATTGTGTGGTGGTTATTACACCAAGTCTTTGATTTAAAAAGCATCTCCCAAGTGATTTCCGGAGAGAACAAGAAGCCGACGAATACATTGTCCATGCTCCAAATGCAGGCTCCAGTTAATTATTTTTGTAATAATGCCGGAGGTTGACTCCATTGTCTGAATTGATGTTGACCTTATATTCCTTAATTACTTGGCAGATAAATTTTGACAAACAAATACAAGCTATAATAAGAAACTAATATTAAAATTTTAAAATAACAATAACATAATAAGTTAGTAAATAGATTTATGAGAATTCAAAACCCCATCAACTACATACATATATAACCCTGCCCAAATAAAATATAAATATCATATGATGAATGATTGTATAATTAAATATGTGTAAAATATGCAAGCATAAAATTTATTTTGCACTTGGAATAATTATTTGAACTAATTTTATCAAGCAAATACACAAATTTAAAACATCAAACATAAAATAAAACATAAAACTACTCTAAATTGTTATTTGCGCCCCTCATTCCCCTCAAGCCGCCTAGTATCATCTTGTTTTGACATTGATCGAAACTTACAAACAAGTTTACAAGTTCCGCACTATATGTCAAGTTATTGATAATAACATCAACAGGATCTCCCCACTACAAAATAAATGTATACGTTAATATAAACAAAACTATCAAACTAACAATTACAAAAACTAGTGACGGACGCAACACGAAATCTCAATGGTTGCATACATGATTTTAGGAGTGACATGCTAAAAATTTTACATTATGTTGGAAAATTTCTAAAAAAATTACATTGTGCTTTAAAATTTGAGGGGTTACACCGACCACCCTAGGAACCCCTTATGTCTATCACTAACCAAAATAACAACATAAATCAAACTATAAATTACCAATATATCTAATGATATATCTCTCACTCACACACACACACACACACACATATATATATATATATATATATATATATATATATATATATATATATATATATATATATATATATATATATATATATTACGTACTCCTCCATTTTATACTATTCAATATATACATTATCTGATATACATTTTAAATGAGTCTATCTCGAATTCAAAGCAATTTTTATTCAAATTCAAATGGATTATTCTAAAAATCATGGTTCGAAACCAATAAATATTTATCATATATAAATACAAAGGGAGGGGAAGATGTCAAACATGTTGCATATTATATATACTCTAAACATCTAAACTCTTCTTCTATAGTTCACTATTATTCACCTTCGCATATACTCTAGCATCAGAGTGTATTTTTGGATTCGAACCGAAAATACGGCTAACCAATTTGTTTCGGATGTTGATACAAATACCCCGATGATCTAGGCATTCATCAATACCATTACCAAAATATCTAAAATAAACCAAAATACTAAACTAATAATTACCAAAAACTAAACTAATTTAAACATAAACCAAATATACAAGGATTGTACTAGTTGTCTAGTTGGACTAGTAGTTTTAAGAAGAATATATATGAAACGTAGAAAGAAAATTGTTAATGATGCGTTACATTAGTTGTTTAGCCATCCAATCAATAGTCCTACTCTCATCGGAGTCTAGGGTTCGAATCTTTTTCACACTTTTTATTTTATTTTACCCTGCCGGCGTTTTTCTCTCCCATTCCCATTCCTCCACCACCTAACCCTAATACTTCTATTCGACGACTGCATCTCGTCTTCTTGTCCTCAACAGGTTTTCCTTTTCTTCATACGATTTATGTTCCATTACACCCATTAATTTTTAATTTCGATTTCACCGTTTTGTGAATTTAGTGATTCTTATTAATCTTGAATTTTCATTGACTATTAACGACTCTACTTGTGTATCTGCAAAGTCCAATCCGACAATCGCAAAAAACGAAGAATAAACAGGATGATTTCTTAATCTTTACTGGTTACAGACAATAATCATAAGTTAAATTACTTGTTCTTTCTAGTGATCATATGCCTGTTTATTGGTTATTGTTAATAATTTGTTAGGGTTTTTTACATAGGAGAAGGCTGATTTGAGTGATAGTCTGTTATTACTGGTTGTTACTTGTATAGTAATCGTGATTTGTCTTTGATTCTTCCTAATATTGTGCATTGAAATCAGGTTAGCTGTTTTTAGTGATGAAGATACTGAAAGAGAATGCAGGGCTTCTTACAAATTTTGAAGTACTGGATTTCCTACGTTCTAGAGGGGCTGCAAAAGATCCCACAAAGGTGCTTGCTCCCCTAAAACCTTCAGAATTCAAGGTTTATGACCACCTAGAGAAGACTGTGGCTCCCAGTCAAACACGAGAAAGCATTGTTGAGTTTGTGACAAAATGTAAACCTTACAAGCTTTCAAACCCTGAGATGACAAGTGTCATCAACATTAGGCCGACTTGTGAAGTGGAAATCGACCCCCTGATAGAGGGTCTTGAGACACGCCTTGGTGAAAATGTGGCTGAATTGGTGGAGTTGATTAAGCAAGTGTTTCCCCCTTCTCCTGATGAAAGTACATCTGATGAATGAAGAGAAAGCAAGGAGCTTATAATGTGGGGTACTATTTGTTTTATTTTAAGGCACTGTAGTGTCTTTATGATAAAGTGATGCAATTTTTGTTTGTTTTTGAGTATCTTCTTTTATATACAAAAAAGAAACATATAATCTTTCACATATCGGGTGCATTTCAACCCTAAATTTATCAAAGTACATTAGTTTAGGAAGGAAAAATAAAAATTTAATGCTGTAATAGAAAGAAATGAAATTAGGGTGCTATACTACACAACTAAATTAAAGTACAATGCTATTTCTTGCATTTAGCATTTGAACTTCATTTTCAATACTTTAGGTGTGGACTAATCAAAGTCGTGGAAGCATGTAATCCCCCAAGAAATAGCTTGTTTTCATTTTCACCCTGAAGCTGGTTTATACTTTGCAGGAAATAGCAATGTATTTTCTGGCCTCTTTTAAAATTTAAACTCTCTGGAAATAGCATCAAGTAGATTTAAGTCGCACACAAAGTGGCAATAATGACGTTACAATTAGTGAGTTACAAACAGCTCTGTAAAGTTTGTGAATTACAAGGTTCCCATGACATGTATTTTGACACATTAAAAAACTAAAACAAATTGAGCCTTTTTTTTTTTTTCATACATGTTAAAATATTTATTGTAATTTTATCACTTTAAGTCATTTTGTAATTGATATTTTACTGCACCAGTTGAATCTGTTTAATGCATATTTTGCTTACACATTTTCTTTTAGTGAGCATTTAACAAATATAAAAAGTTGTTATTTTTATAATTTTAACATTACCATAACCATTGTAAAAGTAAGAATAAGAATATGATCAACACATTCTAGTTCTCGTAGACTTGCTTATAAGAGTGATAAATAAGGATACAAAAACGTTGCATAAATAATCAGATCATATAAATACACTACAAGCTGATAGTAATGTTGCAGTTTCATCATATTTATCCAACTATGAATCTAACATAATAAATAAAAAAGAAAAGGAAACATTCGAATGAGAAAATATATCAAGAACACATGGTTTTGGTCAAAAAATTGAATCAATCTTCATCAGAGTCAAATGTAATCTTTGTGGCTTTAGGCGCATCTGCAGATATCTCTTTGAAATGGGCTCCATACAGCTTCGATTCCTTCATCCACAAATAAAAATATAATTTTCAATCTCAATTTTGAATTTAACAAATGGACCAATTAACCACAAAAGTCAAACCTTTTTCTTGACATGAGTCCCAAAGTTCAACAGGTTAGCAGGTACATTCTGTCCCGCTTCTCTAAGCACATTTATCAGCTCCCCAGAAAGTGCCTGAATCACATTACATTGCATTTTTGTTATATATAAAAAAGCAAACATACAAACACACACTGGTGGTGGTGGTAGAATTACCTTATTCTCCTTCATAAAGAAGGTATGTGCAACACCCTTCTTCCCAGCACGTCCTGTTCTCCCAATTCTGTGGACATAATCCTCTGTGGTCAACGGGAAGCTGTAATTTATTACAACTTCAACATCTGGAATATCCAGACCTCGAGCAGCCACATCGGTTGCTATCTGCATACATCACATATCAATCAGATAAACTCTTAATGTAGAAAGAACGACTTAATACAGAAAGCACTTAATGGATACTTACCAAGAGTGGAGAGCTACCATCCTTGAATAAAGCAAGTGCTTCAGTACGTGCCCTTTGTTGTTTGTCGCCACTTATGGAAACAACCTTCCAACCCCTACAAAAATATAAAGAACAATAAATAAGTTCAGTGTAAAGAGCAAAAGTACTCATGTCCTCATAACTATGGTAAAGAAAAGCACCTTCTTTGCAACATGCTCTCAACTCGGGATGCTTCCTTCTTGTACAAAACAAAAACCAGTACTCTGTTCCTGAGATTTTAGACAAAACAAAATACCAGATTAAGTTCAAAGTTTTCATGTGAAAACAAAGAGGAACACAAACTGAAAGAAACAAAAAGGTGATTGCAAGAAATATTAAACCTTCTTGACTTGTGGTATTTCTCTAGCAATGTAACTAAACGTTCATCACGTGCTCGATCTTCCAAAACCTACATGAAAAATAAAGATACATCAATGAAAATATTACATTACAAGAACATGAAAGTGTAACAAAATAGCAGATTGCAATACCTCCACTATCTGCATGACATCATGGTTAGCAGCTAAATCCTCCGAACCTACAACAACCTGGAAAATAATATATTAATCCAAGGTGAATTGCAGCATATCTAAATACAATTATCCACACAAAAAAAAAAAAAAAAAAATCATTTTATTGCCAAAACTATTGATTTTAGTAAACAATGCAGAGAAGAAAGATTTATATACCTTCACAGGATTTGGATCCATAAATTCCTGAGCAAGTTGATTCACAGCTAAGGGCCATGTTGCACTGAACATTACAACTTGGCGAACTACATATATTAAAAGTTTATTAGATTTTTATGTCAAATTTAGTACTCTGATAAATGTTGTTAAATAGTCACATACCAGAACTTGTTTTGCTAAGAATAGAACGAACTTCTGGTTCAAATCCCATATCAAGCATTCGATCAGCTTCATCAAGTACCTATAAGAAAGGTCAAATTCAAGATATGCCTTTGCCTAAAGCATTTACACTTTCATAACTGTTTTCTTCTAAAAAAAAGGTCATAAAGATAAAAATTTGGTAACTGTTTATTCCTTCCTAGGCCAATAAGATGTTCTTACCACAAAAGAGACCTCTTGTAGCTGACATACTCCCATTTCTATTAAGTCTTTCAAACGACCAGGAGTTCCAACAACAATATCCTGATAGAGATGTGAAGAAACAGCAAGCAATAAGTTAATTTAAGTTGACAAAAGCGTGAAGTTAAGTTGAATGATCATATAAAATACACAATCATTATCTTAAGAGTAACAAACATTCCTTTTGTATCATGAAAACCACAAGAGTTTTCATTTTGGGATGTACCATGAAATGCCAAGATTTCCATGGAAGTTTCAAGTAATGGTTTCCTATTTTGTCCATGATCAATCGTCACAAAAGATTGAAGAAATTGATTAGACCAAAATATACCCTTACTATGACCCATTCAAATAAAAGCCAAGTGAAGAATTTACCCAAAGGATCTTTAGAAAAGCGAAGAGTGGATATGTGATCTTACCATGCCAGATTTTAGAGCAGAAATTTGGGGTCCTTTAGAAGTTCCTCCATACACACAAACTGATCGAACCCCACTGGGTTTCCCAGCTTCAGATAGAACGTCAAAAATCTGCCAAATACAACTCAAGTTAGCCAATCTCTCATCAGACAAATCAAATTACAGATTGAATAATAAGAATCGAAACTAGAATAAGTTCAATAAACTACGAGAAATTGAAGATCATAATTATCAACCATTCTAAAAACGAGACTACTTCTGTAACTGGAATGGAATACGCACCTGTTGGGCAAGTTCCCTTGTGGGTGAAAGTACAAGGCAAAGTGGAGTCACTTTCTTGGTTGGTTTGTTTTTCCTCTTGTTCAAAATATGATTCATGGCAGGTATCCCAAAGGCCAGTGTCTTCCCTGATCAAATCGAAATCAAAACTTTAAACCCCAAACCACGAAACCTCTACTTTATAATTAAAACCCATAGTGATTTAAAGCATATGATCAAATTTACCTGACCCAGTTTTAGCAATCCCAATGAAATCACGACCATGTAAAAGAAAAGGCCACGAATTCGATTGAATTGGCGAAGGCTTATTGAAATTCTTGCAACACTCTAGCAATTCTTCAGAAAGTTTAGATTCTGAAAAGGAACTCAAAGCTTTGTACTTTGGATCATTAATATCTTTACCAGAGACCACAACATTATCTTCGGTTTCTCTAACCTCCTCCACTTCACCGCCATTGTTCTTAATTCCTTCTTCTTCTTCCTCTTTCTTTTGTTTCTTTTTCTTCTTTTTCTTCTTCTCGCTCAACTCGTCTGACCCATTCAGGATTTCGTTTCCATTTACAATTTCTTGGGGGGTTTCGACCTTTTCTTTCTTCTTTTTCTTGTCCTTTTTGGATTCTACAACGAGTTCAGGCTCTGGGTCTTCGAGCTTTCGCTTGTGGTCTCTGTTCTTGCTCTTCTTTTCAGCTTTAGTGATACCATCGCTAATCGTCGGCATCTTGACGGAAGAAGAAAAATTCGGTTTCTTTATGTATGCAAAACTTTAAGCCCGCAAGAAACTGAGAAGGGCGGAAGAGGCACGATATGTGGAGGGGACGAGTTTTTAGGGTTTTAGAGGTTGTGGAGTCTGTTGTACTAAAAGTTACGTATTCCTCCCTTGCTTTTTGTTTCTTTGCAAAAGAAGTTTATATAAAAAGAGAAATTAAATATCCTCCTACCTTTAAATCCTACAAATCTTGCTATCAAGAGGATGTTTGGCATAACTTTTTAAATGACTTTTGATTTTATCTTTTAGAAAAAGTTTTAAAAGATGTTTGGCAAAGGGAAAAAAACTTTTGTAAATAACTTTTCCCATAGAGTAATTTGAGTCTTTTTGAAAAGTCAGGATTACCTGATTTTTTCCAACTTTTCACCAGCTAAAAATATTAAATTACTAATATACCTCTCATCTACCCTAAACATGTCTTTTTTTTTTATTTTTTTTATTTTTTTATCATTTTACATGTAAAACTTAAACCAACACTTTAATTTTTTATTTTTTCCGTTCAAAAGTCAATCCAAACACATTTTAAAAAATAACTTTTGTAAAAAATTCTTTTACAAAAAAGACTTTTGCCCCATAAAAGCTAAACCAAACACCCCCCCCCCCCCCCAATTTAATTGATGATATGTATCATATTAATATTCTAAAATAACATTAAATCTCATTAAATAAATATTAAATGTTACACATTTCATCATTTTATTAGGTAGGAAGATATATAAGAGCAAAAAATAAAAGGATATTCAATTTCTCATATAAAAAATAAATAGGTGGAGGTATTAATCGGAGATTCGTTTCA